CATTCTGATCCCAACAGCCACCCACATTCAGGATAGGTAGGCATTCCCACACCAGTTCAAGCTCTCTGTAAATGCTCTTACAAGTATGCCTAGAGGAGATCAGTCTCTTAAGATACTCTACATCCTCTGTCCTATCTTTTTTTTCCTTGTAAATCTAACAATAAATGAGGAACTCAAAAGGATGGTGGAATATATATGTTATGAAAACAGGGAGAGAATTGTTTATGGGATGAAGGTACGTAAAGGTAGAACTGACTACACAAAACTGTTCTCCACTTACCACATGTTAGTCACATAACCCCCCCCACACACACATGATTTTGAAAAGCCTTGGGGACTATAGAGATGGCTCAGTGGGTAAGAGCACTGGCTGTTTGCCCAGAGAACCCTGGTTCAATTCCCAGCACCCACATGGCAGCTGACTAACATCTGTACTTACAGTTCCAGTGAATTTCATCACCTCTTCTGGCCCCAGTGGGCACCAGGCACACACGGGGTGCATGGACATACATGTAGGCAGAACACTGATACATAAAATAATAAAAATACTATAAAAGACTCAGTTCACAACGATATATTAAAGTGAAAAATTAAAAAATAAGTAATAGAAACACAACTTTATAATGTAAATATATGTTTATAATATAGAACTAAATGTAAAGCCAAATTAATGGAGTAAATAGTATATTTGATAAATCTACCACCATTGAGGATTTTAATACACTACTCTCAGAATTTATTGAACTAAACAGAACAAAAAATTTAAAAAGTCGTATGCAATGTTTGAAATACATAATTTGCCAACTGTATTTATAGGCAGTCTATCTACAGAAATTCGGTAGCCTGAGGCTACCCATTCTCAAAAAGCCTCAGAGAGCATTTACAGAAATTGAATATGAACCAGTCACAAAGCAAATCTTCATTGTTAAAAAAAAAAGTCTCTCTCTTTCCCTTTCCAGAAAGCAGTATGTAGAGGGTAGAGCTTCAAGGTGATTTGAAGATATAGACATTTTCACTGATAACAGAATTATTTGCCAACAAAGGGTACAAAGGAAAATCTCTTTTCTTCCTTCACTCTTCAACCCTAACAGATGTTTAAACTCTTCAGGTTGTCTGAATATGGTTCAAATGCTTGTAGAGTTGCCTTATGGGAGTATCAGCTGCAGAGTTGCCTTATGGGAGTATCAGCAGAACATCACAGCATAGGAAACACAGGAAGATGTAAACACTAAGATCATGGGAAAGGGAAGCCACACTTTCTACAGCAAAGGATGCTATCAGAAATCAAAAAGTGACCTGTGGGGTTCCTATTACGGACCAAGCACTCATGAAGATGCAGTCTCTAAGATACATTCAGAACTCCACCAACACAGCAGGCAAAAGCCAAGGACAAGATTAATGATGGGCTACAGACTTGGATAAACCTTTCTCTCTGGACGGCATGTAAATAGTCAAAGAAACCTGAAAGCATGCATGCATCACTAGTCATCAGGGAGATGCAACTCGGCCCCACCTCATATGGCTATTGTGAAAATAAAAGGTGAGTGTGCATTTTTGTGAGGAAGTGGAGAAACTGGAATCCTAGCATACTTGATGAAAATGTAAAACAATTTAGCCAATGTGAAAAACCATGCAAGTTATTAAAATACTTTAAAGTACTATGTAAACCACCAATCCTACTTTGGTGCTTTTGTCCAATTAATTCAAATCAGGGCTTTGAAAGGATGTTAGGGGAAAGGGAGATTCCTTTCAAGCTTGGTGACCTGAGTTGGATCACTGGGACCTGCATGGTAGAAGGAGAAAACTAACTCCGACAAGTTGTCCTCTGGCTTCCTCATGCATACATGGCACACTTGTGCCCCACACCCAATGAAGAAATGTAGTTTTAAAATTACAAAAAGAAAGAAAAGATGGTAATAGTCTCCTGCTTGTTTAGGATACTGAAGCAGCTGAGCCATTGAGACAACCTGAGTGTCAGTGAACAGATGGCTGGAGAAACCAAGGTGTAGCAAGTGTGTATGATGGAATAGGATTAAAATTCAGAAGAACAAGGAAATTCTTCAATGTACAGCAACATGAATAAACTCTGTGGGAATTAGGTTAAGTGAAAAAAAACCACCACCACCACCACCCAAAAAAAGAAGAGAGATTGTCAAGAGCAGAATAGAGGGGTGCTCGGGACTGTAGAATGGAACATTAGGGGGATTCTCAAGCATGGTTAAGTTTTCAGTTAAGCAAAACAGATTCAACTCTAGGGATTTGCTGCACAAACTGTACAAATAGTTAACAATAATATTGTTAGCATAAAAAGTCATTAAGAGTCTAGATCTCATGTTGAATGTTTTACCACAATGAAATAAAATGGAAAAATAAAATGCTTGGTTTTGCCCTTACTGGAATGTATTTGGGGGTAAGTCACAGGCTCTGTGGATGACAAGTGAGAAGCCAGGGGATAGCCTGCTTTTAATTCAACTACTAAGTCCAATGCATACAGGAGAAATTGGTACCAAGAATGTCAACTTTACATTCCAAATGCTGACTTGATCAGTATGAACAAGAGATAAGGGATCAGTACAGACAGTAAAGTAATGTAAACGTTAAAGTAAAAATCACTGAACTGGGGCTTTGAAGTAATTTTCTTAGAATTGACATCTGAACATAGGAATCCGATTTTAAGAATCATGTTGTCTGGGAAGCATCGTCACCAAGGTGCTAACAGACTGAAAACAAGCACAGCTTTTAGAAGTAGTTTCTCTGTACAAGAAGGTTGTGTGACAAAGTGGACATAGGAGAGGTTGACTTGAAGCGTGACTGATTCAGGCCTCCACCATGTGCTCACACTACACACATCTTCACACATGAGGACAGTGTCAGAGAAAACAGACTGTTTAAAAATGAGGCCAAACTGAAATAGAATATGGGCCAACATATGTAGAAATGGAAAGCCAGTGGAAGAACTGTGTACTTAGTATAATTCTGAATAAGCTAGAATTGAAATGGTTTGTGTGTGTGTGTGTGTGTGTGTGTGTGTGTGTGTGTATTGAAGAAAGTATAAGAATTCAAGTCTAATTGTTAAAATATTTTCTTTGTGGAAAAGAATCAGAGCTAAGAATCAAGTTTTGTGGTACAAGTGGCAGAAATGTAGTTTGTAGATATCTACATACATACACTTCAGCAATTAAAAATGGTTTCAAACTGGAGCAGGCAAGAGAGGCAGCAGAGTTATCATCCACCCTTTATCATTGTCCAGAAAAGTAACCCATGAAACCACAGCAGCTGACTCAAAAGCCACAAAGGCACTACCTAAATCCTGTGCCTGGCCTTCTCCTTTTCCATTTCTGGATCAAAGGCAGTGGCTGTGTGTGAGCCCCTTAGATGAGGCATGGAAGAATGTACGTGGGAACAAAGGTGCAATATAGCAAATGAGAATCTCACCAGCAAGCACAGGATGTGTCATCCAAGCAAGTCCTCTAGAAAAGTGAGTGACCTCACAGACTTAGAGTTAGTTACTTCCATGGAAGGCAGTTGGATGATCTTCCAGAACCAGCCCATCCAGTGCCGGCTTTGAAACCAGTTATAGGAGTTGACTGACTAGACCTCTTATTCGAAGCAGGCAGTGGGGGAAGTTTCTCAACTCCTCTGATCTCGGGTTCTTTAGCAGTGAAATATAGAAAACAACAGAATCTGCATCAGAAGTTGGTCATGTGGAGCAAAGATACAACCCTTAAGTTCAGGATAAAGCCCTCAACTCCAGACTTGGCAGCTGTGTGGTTGAACCCCCAAATATCTGTTATTAGAAAAAAAACAGCAACAAAGAACAGCAATATGCACAAAGGCAAGACAGAAACAAAGGCACCCAGAGGCAGTTCTCTGTGTGCCGAACAGGAGCATTAAAGAAACCTTTATTAATCCATATTACAGACATTCACAACATGTGTAAGAATTACAGCACATTCTATAGCATAACAGACAGAGTCAAATACCAACCTATTTTACACAATTTGAAGAACTCAGTAACAATTTGTCAACAGTGTCTCTCCTGTTTCTAGTTGTCCATATGTATGAATTCATGTCACAGGTAACCTGTCAATGTCCAGGGCAAGCTTTGAGCATGCTAATTTCTCCCTCTGTCCTTCAGCTGGCTTCTCAGTATCCTGTCCTAATGAAATTCTGGCTCACAAATAAGCATGACCGTTCATAAACATATGGGTGGGTAGAGAGATGCATGCATTTAGAACCAGAAGAATCTCACATATCCAGGTTCTACCTCATCTAACCTTGTGGCCTTGGGCACACTGTAGTTTCTTGGTTCTTTCATTTTGTTAAACAAGAACACCATCCTGGCTTCATGTGATAATTTCTATGATCCCTGAACTACTATGCTTCAAATGTTTAGCACTCGGTGTGGACTTTGTTTTCCCAGAAGGAAACATGGTGACCATCACCGCCAACCTCATTTGACAAATAAGTAAGTTTAAGTCTCCTTTCTCTTATTAAGTCACATAACTTCAGAAAAAAGAAAACTCAATGGAATAAAGATACATTGTCCTCTTTTTAATATGAGCAAGCTACAGAGCCTTTGAAAGTAGGAGTGAGATTTAGGAAGAGCAATAAGCAATCCAAGAACACTTTCAAGTCCTCAAAGACATTAAAAACAGCAGTTCTGCTCTTCTACAATTTCCACAGCAGAAATGAACATTCTGTATGATATGACACTAACAGTTCCAGAACTCAGTACACATCTGCCCACTTCAAGTTGGGCTTTCTGGAATGCCTACACATGGGAGTGGCTAATGGGTTGTCGTTTGATATGGAGAGCAGCTAAGTTTGCTCAGTACACAGTTGTTTTTGAAGCACCAGTCTCTACCAATAGTCACTCAGACCTGGACAAAAATGAATTGTTCATGCTGTGACTCAGCATGGTGCTTTCAGATATCTGTCATTTTTCTATACCTGAGCACTGAGTCTTGTGTTGATGGAAGGGTGAGAAACAACCTGGAGCTTACAGCTGGAAGGCAGATTGACAAACTTTACATTCAAAAAAAGGAGACAGTTAATGCTACCAATGTAAATGGCTTATAAAACAGTTGTCATGATGAAACTGCTGGAATATTATTTCTTTATTTAAGCAAATGTTTGTGTGCTCGTTTGTCTCACTCACCTAAAGTTCTTACTACATCCTGAAAACGTAGTGAGCATTAAACATTCTAAGAGTTAGCCACTGCTGGGCTGCGTGGCAACCAAGCATTGGATTACGGCAGTGCTGTTAACCGCTGTAGCCCTCTGTGCCTATTGCCCTTACTATAGGAATGGTTACATCACAATCTAGTTATTTTGCATACAGAAACTCCTTTTTAAAACTAATTTGCTTGTTTTATGTGTACGGATATTTTGTCTGCATAATTTCTGTGCACCACCTGCATGATTTCAGAGGCCAGAAGGAGACATTGGATCCCTTGGGAATGGAGTTACAGAGGGTTGTGAGTTGCCATGTATGTGCTGGGAATTGAACTCAGGTCCTCTGGAAGAGTAGCCAGTGCTCTTCACCTCCAAGCCACTTCCCGAGCCCCAGGTAGACAGACCTTCCTCAGTGGTTCTTGGGGGTGTCTGTCTAGCAGCATGTGACTATTCCAGCCAGTGTGATAAAGGTACTGGTGTGCTAAGTCCTCCTTGACAGTTCAGAGCACATTTTCTAGAATGCCTCAAACCCTCTGTGCTTCAAGTACTAAATGCTTGTTTCTGCTTGGTATAGATAATTTTACTCAGGAGCAAAATCCTGCTAGAATAATAATTAAATATAGACACTTCAGGGCTTTGTAAGGTTCACCCTGAAGCAACAGCTTATATTATCCTGTGCTATTATGCTTTCACAATCAGAGAGATTTTACCAAGAGACGATTGCAGACAAGAACTCTGCATGTTTGCTTTTTCCAACTCATAATTTGTTTGGATGCTGATCTTAGGCAGTATTTGTGAGAAGGGGGAGAGAGGGATAGAAAGAGAGGAAGATGGGAGGAGAAAGGGAGAGAGAGAAAAAGAGGGTAGGAGGGAGGGAGCGTGAGACTATGATTAGAAACTGCTGCTTAAAAAAATAGCCCAGTTTTATGCCAGGGCCAACCTGAAACAGCAGGCTCATCCAACATCTCATTTTCAATTTAGTCTTGTTTTCTAGGCCACACCATCTGCATCCTGTCACTCTCGATCAACACTGGTCCTCCAACAGCTCTGATTTACACCTTTGTGTTCACTCAAATACTATACCCATACCTGATGTCTTGGGGCAAGGCTCTATCCCAGTAGGTTGCCTTATATGTCTGCCTCTGGCTCAGTCTCAAAATTACATTTCTAACAAGTTTCAAGAACACCCACTTTCCCAAAAGTCTTGGGCAGCTTAGTGAGTAGTGGCTATGTTCCAGTAGAATCCTTGTCTGTAATTGCCTCTTGTTGTAATCCCTCCAACTGTGAAAACATAGTAGTGCAGAATAATATAAACATCCTTGAATTTTACTAGGACCTAAGGTCCTTTCTCTCTCCAAAACTGGCCCCTTTCTGTCTCTACTGACACCTACCTAGAGACAATGAAGCTGGGTCACTGTGTCTAAGACTCAATTCTTCAATCCTGGGCCAATTGCTTTTCTATGCAGTGCATCAGAAATCCCTCTTTCCCTTTTGCAAGTGAAAATACTACAAAACCATCTATGAAAGAAATACAGGGTAGATCTGTAAGGCCACCCTATTAACTAAGAATAGTTCCCACAGGTTGGAAAGAAGGGTGTAAGGAGAAATTAAACCAATCACGTCTGTGCACATATTTGGGCACTCCTAGGAAATGAAGTGTCTGTCAGTAGGACACAATTCTAATAGAGGATAGTGATTTGGGTCAGAATCTCCAGTGTGAGTTGCATGTAGGACAGCATGCAAAATCTTAATAAAACAGATTGTATTACAACTTTTACTTCTCTTCATCTCTGGGGCCTCTCAGAAGGGGAAATTAGATAAAAACTGCCCTTCTTTCTGTACTCTACTTTTTGGTCTGCTCTTCCCTCTTGAACTTTCCATTATCAAACCAACAGCAAAGGCCCAGATATCACACGACTATGCATATTTCTGGCCAAGGATCTCTGGAGGAAAACAAATGGTGAATGTGCCCTGATGCCTCCCAGGCCACCCAGAAAGCTACAAACCGATTACAGCTAACATCTGCATGTAGTCACCTTGACTTGGTCCTGGGAGAGAAGCTGCAGATAAGTTCCCCATAGATTTCATCTCTATGACACCCCATCAAAGTGTGACAGGAAGCAACCACCGTAAAGTTCCAGAAAAGCTTGTTCAAGTAGCCACCAGGTTTTGTTTTGTGGCACTCTTCAGACAGGTGGTCTGTAGAGATCAGTTGGGTAAGCTGTTGTCTGCTTCCTACAGCGAAGTCAGGCTTTAAACCAAGTCCTGAGTAAGCATTAAGTTGGGAATGAAGGAACCTGGGTTCCAGTCCTGGAGAGCCCTCAATTTCCTCATTGTACAGTATGGTGGCCATGTTAGCCGTTCTGTGGAAGTGTTGGCAAAGTGTTGGGAGGGAATTATGGAACGTGGGTTGGTGTCCTGAGGAGCTCTCACTTCCTGCATTGGAAGGGGGACAGTACTAATTGACATATGAAAGGGATTGGTAAAGTGCTAGAAGGGATCCTGGATTAAACGACACCTAATCATGAAATTGTAAGCAAGAATGTGTTAGTGTGTGTGATTTCACTGAGTACCCCCAACCCCAACCATCCCAAAAAGTAAGTAAGAAACATTAAGTTATGGGTTTGGTGAGATGGCTCTGTGGTTCAGAGCACCTGCTGCTCTGCCAAAGAACCCAGGTTCAATTCCCAGCATCCTTATGCCAGTTCACCACTATCTGTAACTCCAATTCCAAGGGATCCAATGCCTCTTCTGTCTTCTGCAGACACAAGGCACACACATGCACATAGAACACCCATACATACAATAAAATAATCTCTAAAATTTTGAAAGAAGCATTAAGTGTTGCTCAAATTCAAATTCTAAGTTTTAATTGAGTTCTCATGACAGTTCTCACTTGACTATTCAGGGCATGGAAAATATAGTTACTTCAGATGTGTTTTGGGCAACAAAAATTAAGGATGCACATGTTTTTTTTTTTCAGCTCTAAACTTTGAATGCATCTTTAAAAACTAATCTAGGGCCTAGAGAGATGATTCAGTGGTTAAGAGCATTGGATGCTCTTCTGGAGGACCAAGGCTCACTTCCTAGGACTCACATAGTGACTCACAACCATCTGGACCTACAATTCTAGGAGATCCAACATCCAATTCTGGCCCCCACAGGTACCAGGCACATACTTGGTGCACAGATATACATGCAGACAAAACACCCATATACACAAAACAAATTAATGTAGATACTGATTACAAATTAACAAAAAATTTGTTGTATGTTTTATAGAGTCGTAATAATTTTAGATTCCAAAATCTAGGTTTTACCATTAATACACAGACTAATAACCTTTCTGTCTTAACTTTATGTATGCAAACCTACATTAGAAATACTTTGTCTCCAAACAAGAAAATTAGAAATGACTGGGATTAAGATACTACTCTTTAAAAGCTAACCCAAAATGACTTTTTTCAACCAAATATCGGTGATTAATATTTGGAAAGGATTTTGAAGTCTGCATAGTAAATTGCTTAGCTGTTTCAACTATAAAACTGTTTTTTTTGGGGGGGTGGGGGAAGGGGGTCATTTGTTTGTTTGTTTTGTTCTCTTCTGTTTTGTTTTCTAGACAGTGTCTCACCTTGTAGCCCTTGGTGGGCCTGGAACTCACTAAACAGAACAGGCTGATCTCAAACTCAGAGCTCTGCCTGCCTCTGTCTTATGCACGCTGGGATTAAAAGAGTGTACCACTACATCTCGACAAAGTTTATCTATTTTTATTTCTCTTGTTTTAAATGTATTCTGTTTTTTTTCTCTGTCATTGCATCTGAAAAGTAAAGATAATGAGCTAAATACCCCCAAACCCTCTCTTTTCAAATCCATCTACACACAGCATTGTGTAACACCCTCCCCCCCCCACAGTATCTATTGTTCACTTGGAGATTAACATAGGCCTGGGTTTTCATTCACACTAGCAAGGTTATAGTTCTTTTGTTAATGTGAATGAGTCTTTCTTTCTTGTCCCTGATCTTACCTGGATGCTGTTGAAATATTGGCACATGAGTAGTAGGCCATGATTGTCATGGATTCCCCTTTGTTACAAGCAGTAGACATTTCACGATAGCTGTTTCATTTTCCTTAGTTTAAAAGGCAAAATTTTCTAAGGCCATGAAAAAATTCCTGTATTTGTCCAGAATATGAATAAACCACCATCACAGCTAGCAGAAAAGCCAACTTGGGTTAGATCAGCTCAGCCTGGCTCCCAGCTATAGGTGTTAGGCAGTACCCAAGAGCCCAGACCATCAAAGCTGCAGTAAAGCTGGTCCACTATAGTCCCACTCACAAGTCACTCAGCAACATTAGGAAGCAGTTTCTCCCATGTTTACAGCTAAATATATTTTCTCTGGGTGTTAATTGTCAGTCTCTCCTTGTACGGCAGTTGCTTAAACAAAGCATTGGGTACACAGTCTTCTGCCATCAAAAAATTATCTCAGGTATCATTCCTGCCTTATGTGGATGAACCAGTTTTTCTTAAAAGTCACTGCAGAGGAGCTAGAGGGTCTGTCCTAACTGTCATTACTCTTAAGGAAAGCAGAGCACATGTCACAGGGACTGTGAGTAGCCACATCTCAGCCACCTTATTCCTCTACTCCATAGCAATGCTGCCGGTGAACTCTCCCTAGCAAAGGCTGGCCTGGCATGTAGCAGACAGCAAAGAGAGTAAAGATATAGAGCCCGAGATTTACAAATGGCAACTTCTTCTGACAGAAGGCATCTAACAGAGTCACTGCAGCTACATCTACTACCACCTCAACTTCATAAACAGAAAAGGGGGATGGTGGACAGCAACAGATTCTCCTACAGGCATATTGTTTTCGGTGATTAAAAATGGCAGGTATTTCTGAATCTTGGTCTTGTGGTCTCATGATGTCTTGGTATTTATGAGTAAAACCTACAGAGGATAAAACTGCCCTCATGCTGTCCTGGTAGAGGCTGCAGATGTTATCAGCTAGACTTGTGTCTCACACTTCAATTACCTTTAAAAACGAGAACAAGATGAAAACTCAAAACTAACAGCAGCAGTGGTTTGTGAGTGTTTTAAGCAGCAGCTGTAATGGTCATGTTCTGTCTGATTAAAGTCCTGATCAAAATGTTCTCAGTTGCTTCAACCAGTAGTTAAAAAGATCTGCAAATATTTAAGCAAATGGAGTACTTATAATATCTCAATTTTACCACTTAAAATAAATGTTTAAAATGATTGATTATCAGGCTGATAGTGTTTGGCTTGCCTATTCTCCAACAGGTCTGTTGTGGTGCTTCAGCTCCCAGAGAGGCTGACTCCTACTTGGTGCCCAAATCCAGACTTGAATAACTGGATCCTGATGCCAATAAAGGTCAAGAGAAGCAATATTCCATCATAGCTACTAAATAAGAGTAAATTTTAGTGCCAAGTTACAGAAAAGCACAGTTTTAGGGACAGATAAGAAATTGAATACACCACGGTACTGCTTGGGAAAAGGAACAGTGTAATAATCTAATATTCTTAATTTTATGTACATAAATATAATGCATATCAACTTTTTACATGAGATACATACAGCATTTAAACATTTTACTGAACAAATAAGAATTTACAACCACAATATTACTGCCTAGAGGGCAATGTGATCTTAGATTAGAGCTATACTTTAACAGAGAAAGAATTTAATAGCTTACAATAATAGAAACACCAACATTTAAAACAGAATTTATAAAATAATTTATATATATATTTATATATTTTCCCCTAGCATCTACAGAGAGGAATGATTTGCATTTGTGGATGTGTGCAACAAATGGCATATTTTTAAATTTTTAGGTAATAAAATAATTTAGAAGCAGTTCATGCAATGCTCAAAGCAAGGGGTGGTATCCATCAAGATACCCTCTTCCTTTGACATCAACCAGCGTCAGACAGATGGACCCTAAGTACCACAGGTATGTGTGAGTACAAGTCTCCATGTTACATTACACGGACATCAATGTACACGTGTTGGTATCCTTCCTTTCAAGCACAGGTCACAACTTTGGTCCGCCATGCGAGTAGTCAGTTTAGAAAGTGATTCCGTGTCTCTCCCGGAGTCCTCCACATCTTCTTCACTCAATTTAACTAACAGACCTTCCTTGTTTTCACAACTTTACTCTGATACTTCACAGAGTGTCCCCCATGTCCTACGACATAAACATCCAGGAGGTAAGATTTGCCAGGCTGCAGATCTCTGATTGTCTCTGTGGTCACTGCTTTCCGCCGGTTCTGGCTGTGGAAATACTTGCAGAGGACCTTCTCTGACTTCTTCCTGGTGTCTGGCCCCAGGCACCGGTTTTGCTCTCTTCTCTTCTGGTCTTCGCTGTAGTTCCCATCCAATTCTCTTCTGTAGATACAAAACTTTCTCCTTTCTTGGGTGCCTAGCCAAGCCACTGTGACCGAAGAGCAGGTGCGTAACTTATCAAAGGCTTTGATTCTCGTGTCTTGCGGAAGAGAGGGGAAAGCCTGCTTACTGGGCTTAGTGGTGGCCAGTATTTTCAACATAGATGCTCCTTTCTTGCTGCCTTTCAGTCGAATGAGGTATTTTGCTCTGGGTTTTCCTCTTAGCTGGAACTGCCGAACGCCTACCACATTCTGGGACAGAAGCAGCTTCCCATCTCGTCTCACTTGGACTTGAACAGCATCCAGACAAGAGTGAATGAAGAAGCTGGCTTTTTGGTGAGAGGAGACTGGGGCAAATCGCAGAAACTTTGTTTTCTTCCTTTTAACAAACACGTCGGTGACCCTCCCATCTTTTAGCTCCACTGGCTTCTGTTTCGCTTCCTCCTTGGTCTTGGCAAAAGTACCCACATAAGCCGTGCTTAGGTTGCTGTTGGTATTGACCATGAAGACATCGAAGTAGTACTGGGTGTCCGGCTTCAGGTCAGAGACTGTGAAAATGTTTTTATTTCCTATGCAGATTTTCTGAATGTCAACCTTAGGCTTCCAGTAGACGTGGTGCCCCACTTTGGGAGAAGGCTTTGCCAGGAAGCTGCGATCTTTACCCAAATTATCTATTGGAAATCCAAAATGGGCGAAGTCAAAGGGGCTAAAGTCAAGACCAGGTTTGGGTGCCATCATGAAGGCGTCATCTGCACTCAGCTTTGTTTCTACCGCACAAAGGCTTTTGAAATTGTGCTCCTTGTTGATGACCACGCAGTACTCGATGGGTTGTTTCAACACAGAGGCTGTGGGGCTCGGCTTCCAGACTAAAGTTACCGTGGTACGTCCGAGGGAGGTCACGTCGACTCTAGGGTCATATGGTAATTCAGGGTATGGCTGATCAGATTCTGGAGTGGTGGTGGCGTATACTTTGAAATATGTGTCTTTCTCTGATGAAAGAAGCTCCAACTGATACAAACCAGCTGGGGAACTTGAAGACAGAAAATACTCTACGTCATTGCCCTTGTAGGAGAACAGTTCTGTGCCCGCCATGTCAGTCATCTGCTGCTTCTGCTGGTCAAGTGGTTCTGGGTCACCTGGAGAACAAGGGAGAAGAATAGGCTGAGTGCTACTGAGGCTTGCCAACCTTAGATTATATTTTCAAACATCTTATCTTCATGTCAAAGACATGACATAGTCCTAACAGACAAAGCACCAAAGGAAGCAAGGTGAGCATAGGAAAGTCACTAATTTCTCAGCAGAGAGTCCTTTCTTACTCCTGTGTTGTGGAGTATTAGCTTAAGATGTGTTACATTCCTTTATGTGGTGGAATATGTGTTTAATGATGCAAACATGTGCTGCATTCTTTCATGTTGCATTTGTTTAACTCTGTAAAACTGTGTTACTTTGTCTGTCTATAACACCTGATTGGTCTAATGAAGAGCCGAGCAGCCAATAGCTAGGCAGGAGAGGGATAGGCAGGGCTGCCAGGCAAAGAGAATAAGTAGGAGAAAGAAGGGAGAGCAAGAAAGGGAGAAGGAGAGTAGAATGCCAAGGGCCAGCCACGGAGTAAGAAGTAAAGAAAGGCATATAGACTAGAGAAAGGTAAAAGCCCAGAGGCAAAAGGTAGATGGGATAATTAAGTCAAGAAAAGCTGGCTAGAAATAAGTAAGAATAAGTCTCAGTGTATTTATTTGGGAGCTGGGTGGTGGGCCCCCAAAGAGGAAAAAACAAAACAAAACACCAACAACATTCCTGTACTTCCATCCAGTCTTTTCTCTTACACATTATTTGAAGTTCATGTTATTTTCACCAATTTCTCTCCATAACTTAATAAAATATATCCTCATCCTCATACATATGTGAATCTAGATAAGCCATTAGTCTTAGAACCCAGTTCTTGCTCATGTCATAAAATAATACTATTGGTTTATCTTTTCCTATTTCAAGTGATGCTCATATATGAGCAAAGCTTTTCTTCATTTTGATTATTTCTGTGGGGCAGAATCCAGTTAGAGGAAAAGTTAGGTCAAAGACTAAACTTTCTAAAGACTATTAATCTGGTGTGAACCAAAATGATTCAAACATGCTGTTTGCAGATGGCCAGCCATTGTAATCGCGTGACTGTTAGTGGGACTGGATGACCTGATTAAAATACAGGGTGTAAAGCACTTAAGGACCAGTGGTTAGAACTGGTTCCCAGGAGCAGTACAGAAGAAGTCTTAAAACTAAGGGGAATTTTTTCCCATTAAAATATAAAATTTGGCTACTGTTAACACAAATACCATGCAGATATAAGCATAAGATATCTAGAACCTGGTGGAATGCTGGGTGATCAGAGTGAACAACTGTTTTCCAGCTTATTACCAAAAGTTGAAAGTGTTGAATGACTTATCCCAGAATTATGGGAAGAACAGAACCATACATCCATTAATGTCAGAGATTCTGTACTATATAAGTCTGACTACTTCCCCATGGGCTCTTCCAAGATTGCCCAAGTACTGTAACTCACAAGCATCCTTCCCACAGGAGCAGCTGGTAGGTCTTTATCTTTAAGCTAAGATGCCCTTAGAAGGAGCCACTGTTTTTCACTCATTTCCTGCTATCTGCTTCCCACCTTCTCTGTCTTCTTTAGATGACTAACCCTTTCCTCCTACTGACTTGCTTGTCCTCCTGCCTTTAAATATTGTTAACTGCTTCTCTCCTTCTTTGTATGTACCCTTTATTCCCCAGAAATGAAACATTCTTAACCTTGCCTGAGCCTCAAAATCACCTCCGGGGAGCTTTTTATACCCCACAATAATTAAGCCAGAACAACTGAGGCTGAAATCAAGGCACCTGGGGTTTCAGATGCTGCACATATGCAGACAGGCTTGCAGATAGCAGACACAGAGGCTGCCCAAACCGCTCGCCTCCACACTCCCTTTTGCCTCATTTATTTTACCAAGATCAATGTCATCTCATGCCATTTCTCCATTTCAGGCTCCAGCTTCACATGTGCATCTGGGCTGTTCCCCTTCCTTGTAGAAGGTTGTGTGTTTCAGAGCTCTGAGGCCAGGTGCATCCTGCCACTTACCCGATCCATCTGCACTCGCCTCCTCAGGCAGCTCCTGAAGGCTAAGCTTCCACTCCAAAGGTGCATCACAGGGTGTCACAGTGACGGACAATGGGGTGTTATCTTCCTCAACCATGAAGAAGTACCTAGGGGTAAGTTTAGACCCTATGATGATTCTAATAATGCCAATCGAGACTTACCAGAAAAGCCACTTGGTTTTCATTTTTACTCATTTAACACATTTTCATAGGAAACATAAAACGATGAAAGTCCAATTGTTCAAAGTCCAAATGCAATTTGGCACCTAACTGAACATCAACAAATACATCAAACAATACAAGCCAAACATCAACAAATACAAGGAAGTTAATAAAAGGATATTCAACCAAGTGTTGTGAATTCAACACGAACTCTTCTTGTCCATCTGTAGGGGTTCCCACCATAAAATAAGTCCCAAGCACTGCGCATTCCCTGTGTTCCCTATACCACTGAGTTTTGACTAGTGTTTGTGCTACCTTGAAGGCACTTTGACATGTTACCTGCTGTGTCAAAATATCAGTTTACAACGTCATAGTTCTAAAATATACCCTTGGTCTCTGGCAAGATAACAGTGTGTGTGTGTGTGTGTGTGTGTGTGTGTGTGTGTGTGTGTATGTGTGTATGTTTATTTACTTATTACTAAAACGTTGAATTAAGTACATTACTAATTTTAAAGCAGAGTTTGTTTTTTTTTTTTAAAAAAAAAAATCAAAGCATTTTGCTCTGTTCTTTTACCTCAGACATTTTTTTGTGGTACCTTAGGAGACATTTTATGAAGAATAAAAATATCATTAACCTATAAAAAACGATGCATATTCTAACTCCAAATTGCCTTCATGATTTCACTTAATTATCTTTCAAAGACTGCAACCCTGCAAATGAGGGAAACTGGTTTCAGTGCTGGCTAGCTCAGAGGTGCCTACTACTGGTTCTATGGCCAAGGGGGTGAGTGGGCTTCCCTTCCTGTATGCTGTATCAGCTCAGCATTCCTCACATCATTCTCATACACCCATTACCAACACACATGCCAAAATGACCACATTACCCTCCCCTGCTGACTCTGCTCACCTCCCAAGCACCTAATCTCTCTAGTGAGCCTCAGCCATCACATGGATGTCCCTTTTTCATCTGTTCTTGCTCCCATATCTTGCTCCCTTACCCAGATGCCTGGCTTTACCTTTTGTGTGTTAATAAGTCTCAGGTTTAAATCCTCAGCCTGAACTCTTTCCCTCTTCAATAAGACAGTGGCATTTCAAACTTGAGACATCTAATCTGAATTCCTGTAGCTCATCCATTTTTAGTAGATAACAACTCCAAACTTCTGGTCATTCCAGACAAATATTTTGGAGTCACTCTTGGCTTTTTTTTTTTCTACCTGACATATAATGCATCAGTATTTTCTTTTTATTTTGTCTTTGAAATATATGCAGATACTACTGCTTTGTCCTGGCTTATCTAAGTCTTCATTCCCTCTGGCCTGAGCTTGCTGTGGCCTCCTGACTAGGCTCCCTGTTTTTACACTGAAGCCCTTTGGTTTTGCAAACCTTAAACAAAGCACTTCCCCACTCAAAACCCTCTGAGACCTGTGCACTTCAGAGTAAGAGCTTACAGTACCCCACACGTCCCTACATGCTCAACCTCATCTGAATCTATTCTGCCATTACTCCATTCGGAGTTCTGCTGTCTGTGGTACATGTATGCCAACTCCGGCCTGGGGTCTCTGAAGTTCTGCTCATCTGACAAGCAGAGCACTCCTCTAGACAGAGGCCTGGGAAGACTTAGATGCTTCCTTCAGCACTCTGCTCCAGCACCATTGAGGATCCACTTGGATTCCACATGTAAAATATTTCCTTTTCATTGTTAAGGTATGTATTGACACCTAACATATTATATGTTTCTTGCATCCTTTTTTAAATTCTTTGTCTCCCTCAACTAGACTGACAGCCACAAGAGGGCAGCCAGTTCTTTCACTGGTATACACTCAGACACTGAAATAATTCAAAATATTTGTTGAGTGAATTATCCAATGGTGATGTCTACCTTTAAATCATTTTATTACTTCCAAATCTTTTTCCATTGAAACAGGATCGATATCTATAAAATATCCTGTTCAGTGTTTCTAGAACCTGGTGAAACTCTGGGCAACTGTAATGAGAATAACCCCTTTTTCCTTTTTTTTTTTTTTGGTTTTTCGAGACAGGGTTTCTCTGTGTAGCTTTGCGCCTTTTCCTGGAACTCACTTGGTAGTCCAGGCTGGCCTCGAACTCACAGAGATCTGCCTGGCTCTGCCTCCCGAGTGCTGGATTAAAGGCATGCGCCACCACCGCCCCGTCCTTTTCCAGCTTTTACCCAAAGTTGTAAGTGAAATATGTAGAATTTCTTGCTCCCAAATTAAGAGAAAAAACTCAAGCAACAGATCACTTTCTTCTGTCTAAACCTCATCATTTCTCACAGGCTCCTGTACCACTTCTCAGGTGCTGTAACTCACAAGCATCCTATGCACAAGAGCAATTGTCAATTGTTTAAGCTAAGGTACCTCTAGAAGGAGCCACAACATTGTCATGACCCTGTACAGACCTTGCATTTTACTCGTATAAAACACACTTTTTTTTCCCAGCTTTGAGCCTCTTTACAGCTTCATATTTTAGCATTAAGTAAGTTTTTAACTGATCTCATGGTCAAGCGTCCACAGGGGGGTCCTGCCTTCCTCACCAGGCTCTGTTCTTGTCTCTATCTTTTCATGCTGTAAACACATAGGATTTCTGTTGTCTCCCAAACACTTCCTCTTCCTGGGTCTTTGAAATATGTTTTTTGATAGCCCTGTCTCTCTGCCTTACTCATATTTAAATTGTGGTTCTTCAGAAATGCCCTTCCTCACTCATTCCAGAAGAGGTTTGCATACAGTCTCTCAGGCACTGTGCTGCTCAGATCTCACATTCACTGCAGTTTGTGACTATGTGCATTTGTGTGATTACTTGCTTTCATATTCCCCTAAGGCCCACTTAGGGCTCATCTTCTGTGTCTCTGTATGCCCTGTGATGAGCATGCTAGTACAGATGTCTGCATACAGCAAGCACTTGCTGGACATTTTTGAAATAATGAATGAATTACTAAGTCAATGAGCAAAACTCAACAATCTTGACAGCAATCTCATTAGTCTAGCCTGAGGATATTATATTCAGAATCTGTTTCTATTTGAGTATGTAGAATCCAGATAAAAATAGCAATTTTTCTCTATACTATTCAGAGATGAATTTGGAAATGGCAAGTAATATGGGGCAAGATGAGACAGACTGAGAAGCATATTAAGCAAATGCAAGGGCTTAAAAATTATACTAGGTAATCATCTAAAAAGACAACTAGATGATTCAACTGTTTTAATGTGTAAAGTCGGATGTACCACAGTCATCTATACAGGTTATTTGATATTTAATCTTGCCTATTTTCTGAAGAGAAGTTTGTTTTTTGTTGTTTTTTTTTTTTTTTGATCTGTTAGCAGGGATGACATTAAACTGAGCCTATCATATCACAGAGAAAGTGGCATCAAATAGTGTCTGGAATTTTGCAGTGTGTTTCTTGAATTTTTATTTGAGCAACACAAGATAGCAATGCCAAAGCCAAAAACAGTGCTCAAGCAGATCTGCCTCCTGCTTTCTCCCTTTAAGAAAACAGCCTGTTCTCTTATGTAAGCAACTGTGTGTTAGTGACTTGATGACAAACAGGAGGATGTCCACATCCCTCACAGTGAACATTGGGCGTGTACAGCAGCAGGACACCCCAAGGATAACACTTTCATCTGAAAGCTTGCAAGTTAGGGATAAATGAGAATCTGAACCAACTCAACATGTAATGCATTGGTTAGTAAGTGCTCACAGAGCACATGTAGAACAGTGGTAGGGCATGACCTGGGTGTTCAGATATGTACTACCAAGTGAGGCTGGAGGAGATGAGATGAATGAGGGATGCACACTACAAACCAGCCACCTTTGCATTATGTGTGTAAACATGAGAACAACTTGTACATCTGATGTCTTTTCCTCCTCCCACAGACAAACTTATGAGACATTTCATTCTAGGCAGAACATCAACAATGGCTGTGTGTACTTACCGCTGTATAGTCCCAACTCCAAAATTAAATTTCTTCTTGGAACTACAGCTCTACCTAACTAGTATAAGCAAACATTTCACTCAGTTATAAATATAAAAGGCCTTAAAATTTTGTTTTGGAAAAAAATACAAAACTTAGAAGGAAAGAAAAGGTGATGGAAGATGTACTGACGGTTATGTAAAATTGTATAACAAAAACATGTGTTAAAGAAGAAAACGCCATTTTTAATACCACCCTTAGAATTACAACTTATTTAATTTTTAGAAGATCAGAGGATAAGCCATTTATTTGATTAAGTGACATGATTGTATAATTGGAAGCTGTATTTAAAGACTACTAAAAGAGAACAGAACCCAAGTGTATTTGGGAATTGAAAGTTACACCTAAAGAAAAATTTTGGTTTGGTCTCATTCACTCAAATATTTCAAGCACAAAAATGTAAACTGTGCTCAATGACAATTCAATTAATATTAAGGATTTCCCTGAAGTCATGCATGGCTTTGTGTATCTTTCTTATTCTCACAGACTGAGTTTTTGTGCAGACCATGGCAGCAAGTTCCTTCATATTAAACATTTCATCTTATGTTTTCAGTCTCATGAATATGACTTAAAAGTTCATAATTATTTATACTTTGAGTCAGTTCTTAATCTGTCCCATTCCTTCAAACAAGTTATTTTACTCCAGTAACTTGAAACAATGCCCATTTCACCTATAAAAACTGATCATCTGTGCTCACCCAACTGACCAGAGGGAAAATGATGGGGCCTTTAAATAGGAGGGGTTTAGAATACCATTCTCCCTCCATGAAATTGATGACGTGAAGATTCTTCACATCTCAGTCTTTGCAAAGTGGGTTAGTGGTGTGGAGTAATTCTACATCTTAGAAAGCAATTTATCTCAGGTTAAAAGGACGAATTGTTTTTGTAAAAATTCAAAAAATTAACAATGAAAGGCAGAGAAGATTTAAAAGATGGCAGTTTGATAACTTTACATATAATTAGTTTGTAGTATATCATTTCCATGACATATGGGTGTAACTTTTAAAGATAGGCATATTTGGAAACACCACAGATGCCCAGTTGTTTAAAGTGGAGTGAAAGAAATAACTGCTGTCAGTTTTTCACTATTTGAATCTCTCAGAATTTCATCCTATCTCCTGGTACTATCCTTCCACAAATACAGATATTTGACGAACCATTTTTGTTGAAGTAATTTCAGTTTCATCCTACATATCATACATAAGCACACATAATGCTACTCAGAGGTTGACTCTATAAACTCCATCCGGAAGGTGACTGTCTTCTATGGAGCCTCTTTTATGGACCTAAATCAGCAAGCACAGCAAGGACAATACCTTCTAGGTGTATCTTTAAAGAGATAACTGCTGATCTCAGCTCCATCTGGAATCACGGATGAATCGTGGAAAAATGCCTTATCCCGGATCTGCATCTGAAAAAGCTCCTCATCTCGGGTGGGCAGCTTTTGGGTCCTCGAAGTGAGTGGTAACAGGAGCCACAACAGACACCAGTGGAGCAGCACCATCCTGGGCACAAGAGACAAGTGCCTTCATTAGTTCTGCAGGCAGACACTGGCTCAGGTAGGAAACTTCCTCGAGGGCTGATTTAGACAGAATCAGTGACATAGCATGGGTATTGGATATGTGCATACATTTTTGACACAATTCTCCTGTCTCATATTTTTCTTCAAACTATTTCATAATATTGAGAATAGATTTACTAGCTCCTCAGACATTAAAGAATATTTTAAAAATAAAATAACTGTTTTTTCATTAACTTCCCTGGATCTTAAGAAAGCAAATCAGCACTTCATTATGACAGAAGCCAATATCATCCTTACTGAGGAAGTCTTGTCAGTGTCTGGAAACTTATAGGACCACCAAGGGTCAGTCCTCTCAAGTTTTACAAAACGTACACCAAAGGTTGCCCAGAGTCATTGCTCAGCAGCAAATTTCTAGTCACTGACATGCTTGATCTCCAGCCTAAGTCATAAGACACCCACTTGAAGGTGGAAATATTCTACATATTTTTAAAAAATTCTTGCTCAAATGTTGATTCAGAATTTTGTATAATGTTTTACTTATCACACTAGACTTTCATAAATTAGTGATTTAAAAAAAAGATTAAAATGCTTAGCTCCATCATTCATAAAACAATGTGTTCAAAGCCATAAAGTGAGTTATTGTATTGATGTCTAACTGTTACAGCTAACAGAAGCACATTTGCATGCATACACATTTGCATGACAGAAACTGCGCCTCAGACCCCAGCCACAGAACAAGCCACTCAAACCTTTAAGCCCTTGCTCTTAACTTTTGAAAAATCTTTCCAACTGAGTTATATCATGGCCCTGTCATTGACTTCCATCCTGGGTCCCTATCAATACAAGGCTGATCTTCTACTACCTACACAGACAAGGCTGATCCTCTACTGTCTACACAGACAAGGCTGATCCTCTACTG